TTCACAGCTGAAAGATACCAATCCCTCGACGCATCTTTTTCAAGGAAACAAGATAAAATTTGAGCTTAAAGCTAAAGACAAAGTTTCACAATCCTTTTTCGATGTCGTTTAAAAAGGAAGGAAATTAAATCTTGTTTATTCACAGCTCCAAGATATCGATATATCTTCTTTAAGGAAATATCCGCTTGAAAGTGAATTTAAAGGGTCACTCCTTCAAATTCGCTCGAAAAGCACGAAAGCTACAGTTAAATATATTTACAGGCACACGAGGGATACTCGTATGTGCCCCCCAACAAGCAGCTGTCATACGACCGGGGATACAGTTACGAGGAGCCGCACGATCAGTGGTCGAATAACGACGGGATCCCCGGCGTAGCCGGGAAAGATTATCCGATCCTCCACCGAGTCCCGTGGACGCGATTCGTGTGCGAGTGGAAGTACCCGGGCTATTACGCCGACCCTGAGGCCGACTGCCAAGCGTATCACATCTGCCAACGCGGCGGCCGTAAGGACTCGTTCCTTTGTCCGAACGGCACGTTATTCAATCAGGAGAGACTGGTCTGCACGTGGTGGTACACCGTGGATTGCTCCCGCGCGCAAAGTTTCTACTCCATTAACGAGGCGGTTGCAAAAGCAATGGAGGAAGCTGATAGGTGAGCACGCATTACATAACGAATTGTTCAAAATACGTACCGTGCGTCCGTGCGGCATTCGCATGCGATTACATAATCGACGTGTCCTTATCTCCCGCGGTTCAAGCAGCGAAAAAAAAACCCCCCGTTAACATTTCTTTTAATGTGCCCGCTGGATTATCTCATAATAAAATGACGCGATAAATAAGTCACGTGGGCCGTTAATTATAATAGGCACGCAACTTTCATTCGCACATCAGGGAAGCGATCAAACTCCCCCGCTTTCAGTTTTCACTGCGATTAAGTAGTAATGTCTAAAGATTCGATATAACATCAATACGTAAACATTGATCTATCGCTGATATCAATTTTAGCATAAATTTACTTTCTCCGTGTACAGCATAAAGTTTGCTTTGAATGTTCACGGAAATTAGGATTTTTATGTTTTTTAACTTAGGAGTGTATTCTGTATGAAAAATTTTATTCTATGAGCTCTGGAACTCTTTGTGGCTCTTTCTTTTTGCTCTTTATTCTTTTCTTTTCTGCTCTACAGTGCTATATAATTTATAGAGATACAGCGTTACAGAGCATTTTTAAAGGAGCAAGGAGCCAAAGAGTTACAAAGCTCATAGAACAAAAAAATTTCATACAGAATACATTCCTAAGCTATAAATGTGAAACATTATGGCTCGGTGTTTCCAAACGTCGTTTAACTTTAAACTTAGTTTAATTCGTGTTTATCTCTTTCTAACGTGACAGTTGGAAAGAGACAGAGAACGAATTGAATCAAGCGACGTTGGCGAAACCGGGCCTAAATAAAATTTCCAAGTTCTATGAACATTTGAAGCAAACTTTATGCTACACACACTTCATCTTTCTTTCCTTCACTTCGCATTATTAGGAGTATTCTGCTACCACTAATCGTTATTCATTCTTTTACAATGAAGACGCCTCGGAATAGCTGACGGACAGAAGTTATCCTGGAGTTATCAGCGTGAATCTAACGAGGAGAGATCTTGGAATAAGAATTGGCAGAGTGAACGACGAGGGTGGAATAAAGACAGCACTTCAATTCGTCATAATCAAGATTTGGATTTCCCTAAACAGTTTCTCTATGAAACACCTGCGCGTCCTAAGTTTTTCGGTGAATCCTCGCAAAACAGTTACAAAGGCGATGCCTTTGGCAAGGAATTTTCGCAGCACCGACAAACGTTTTACCTACCTGTATGATGTGCAACGGATCTTACAGCAGTGCTCACTTATAGCATTTTAAACATTTTATGTAAACATTATTAATAAATTGTCTTGCTAAAGTAAGCAACGTTTGTGAGAGAATTTTTATCATTATGTCGAACGATATATTCGATCGAAATATTTTCTCATTTTAGTAGAAAACGCAATTATCTTGGAAATTACGTTTTAATG